ACAAGGGAAAGCCTACTTTGCCTTATAGTGTTGACATGTGCGGTTTCCTTAATATCACACTTATTATTAATGTTATTTTGTAAGAAGCTTTTTTCTAAAGGAATTTAGCCAAAGCTTTTGTGATTATTGTCCAAATAATACTTCCATGGTCTGGTCAATTTCCGTATCAGTTGTCCTGGACGAAAGAAATTGACACAGAAACAAGTTGTAAAACAAACGGTTTTGACTACAAAATATACTTCCATAACAGCCGACGAATCTGAGATTGTACATACATATAAGTATAAACATGGAAGTAGTTCGTTGTCAGTAGTGTTCGCCCATGGTATAACCAAGATGGTTTTTATCTAAAAAAAAAACTTTAAATAAAATTGCATTTTCCAGAGTAATTGCAATTAGTATATATATAACTGTTGCATGGCATGTTACGTTCCAAAGACGGGTTTTATTCAGAGAATAATGAAACCTTGTTAGTTGTAGTTGTTTAATTGTCACGATTGTCTTGTGACCCTGCGTCGAAAACCCTAACCTATATTGGGTTTGAGCCAATTGGTGTGATAAAGTTATAGGGTCAATGTAGCAGCTGTTGACATGATCTGTTGTGTTAGCTGGAAGGTCTGTGTCAAATCCAAACTTAAATCTTTTAAACCACAGATCTACCTAGAAACCACATGTGGAACATTGTATAATCTAATTCATAATATGTAATTAGTCTTCCGATTAAGTCTAAGACAGCTTGGTGTGTTATATTAAACACTTATTGAAAATTAATGTGCAAACATCCCCCTTCTTTACACCTTAAAACAAACGTCATTTTAATCGGCTATTTTTTACGATTACCGAAGAAAAAAAAATGAATACATCATCATCTCTAAATGTTTAATTATGAAAAAGAATATTGAGACCATTGACAGTTGACAGATTTTCCCAGATTTTCCCAGATTATAATAACCTGTATACAACTTTGATAATAAAAGGGAAAGTTAATCGGATTTTCGGTTGCATAATATGAGCGGTTATATTTTCCTTTTCATGCCGACATTGTCCGGGTTTATAATCAAGTGAACGATATCTTGACACAACAGAAGGGTAGCTGGTCTCCGTCAAGAGCTTAAACTGGCAGCTTATACCACCACTCATCACCCTCTTAGACTGTCTAGATTATTAGAAATACACATGAACATGTTATCTTATGTCTTGGCAGGGTGAGAAGACTGAAATAAAATTGTGTAATTTCATACATTCTGACCTAATTCATTTAGATTATTCATTAAAATTTAATAAAAATGTAATGGTTTACGTCTTAAACGTTATTTATGATAAGTAATATGAACTTGGAAAATCACAAACTAACTGTCAAACGGTCGTAAACAGAACCGCAAATGTCTCAAGAACAATTTCATCTAAGTATCATATCGGTAATGTTATGTTATGTTATAAATATGAAGAATGGCATTTGCCAATCTTCTTATGACCTTAAGTAGGTTCACTTATGTTTACTCGACTATAGTGTAAAATGGCCATACTACCGGTATCTTCTTGTCCATTCGCTCATCAAAAGCATTCATTTTTCTATTTCTTTAAATTTCGTGCAAAATTTCCTACTGGTGCTCATCGATTTTCTATGTCTATACTCGTTTTATTTTAATAATGGTGTCCGTTGGATGTCAACGGTTGATAGCATTCCCTGGCTGTTAACGATTTAAGCCTTTTTCGAGAAACAACTTTTGGGAATTTTTTGTTATTAATACCAGAGACATGTCTCTGTTAATGCTCTTCAACTTTGTATTTGATTTGACTTTCCAATTGTTTTGATTCGATAAGTTATAAGTTATATAGTAGTCTCAGGCCTAAATGCTTCCTTTTTTTAAGTCAAGTAACGAAAAGGGTCCTGTTTTATTCAAAAGAGAATTAACTTAAGCAAACTTATGATTATTCATAATTCATTTACATCTAAATGAAATGTACAATTTTTGCTGCGTTTAATGTAAATTTCTAAATCTCCTTTCATCAGATTGTTCAGAACTTGTATATATCTCAGACTATAGTTATAAACTACTTTGAAATCTATGGTATTAGACATTACTAAGAAACATATTTATAAAGAACTATATTAATTAAATTGAATTTGTGCGACAACTAGGCATCACGAATCAGTGTAGTTTTCAGAAAGGAGACCACGCAATCAAGCAAAAAAATTATACCCACACCTGTCTGTGGTTGAAGACTTGCACGCCTTTTTTGTGTCATTGGGTTGCCATTGACGTATATATAAATAAGAAGATGTGACATGCGTGCTAATGAGACAACTCTCCATCCAAGTCACAAAGTATAAAAAGTTAGCAATTATAGTTCAAAGTACGGCCTTCGGCTCACACCGAACAGCAAGCTATAAAGGACCCCAAAATGACTAGTGTAAAACATAGGAACTTGGGGAAGGGACAATTTTTGTTTAACCCTCCCCCTTTTTTCCAAAATCCGATATTTTTTTTATTTTCTATTCATTTCAATTATTTTCGCGTTTTTCTGTATACTATGAACATAAACATACTATAAATAACTTGTATTTGCTATTTACAATCAATTCCAAGTTTACTATCCACGGCGGTCACTGATATATTATATAGAGAAAAGTTATATCAGTGACCGCCGTGCAGAGTAAACTTGGAATTGATAGTAATTATCAAATACGCGAAAATAATTGAAATGAATAGAAAAATAAAAAAATAACGGATTTTGGAAAAGAGGGGGAGGGCTAAACAAAAATTGTCCTTTCCCCAAGTACCTATGTTTTACACTAGTCAATTTGGGGTCCTTTATAGCTTGCTGTTCGGTGTCACCAATTCACAATAATCTATATAAAAAACTAGAAACGAGAAACACCTATGAACCACACCAACAAACGATCGACAACTACTGAACAATATGCTCCCGATACTAGTACCCCATATTTCGTTTTATTCATACGAACATTATACTATAGCAAGATAATTGATGATAAAATTGAGAATGGAAATGGGGAATGTGTCAAAGAGACAACAACCCGACCATAGAGCAGACAACAGCCGAAGGCCACCAATGGGTCTTCAATGCAGCGAGAAACTCCCGCACCTGGAGGCGTCCTTCAGCTAGGATAGGTCATTTAATATCTTTTAAAGAAAGAAAGCACAGAATGTAAGTCAAAGTGACCTATTTTTAAAGATTGACCTTTTGCTATCGGCTATTATCATAATGGTAACTTACCGAAAGAAGCCCAAGAAAACAAACTTAATGCAAAAATTAAAGTAAAAAGCCTCCAGTGTATTGAAAAATGATCTTTGATGAGCCTCCTCATGGGGTTTTTGATTTTGTGATTACTTGGCCGTTTTTATAGTGATATTTTGATTACCAGACCAAATATTTCATGATTATTTGATTATTTGATAATCTAGGACTATTTTTCACATTATTCGATTATCTTGTTTAAAAAATTAATTGATGATTATGTGATTATATTGGCAAAAAATTTATGATTATGTGATTACTTGGACACCCCCATGAGGGGTCTCTTTGATTGGAAGATACAGCCAAACCTGCTTAAGACTACCTGCATTAAGCAAAAACCTGTGTCATAAAACTATTAAATGTAGTTTCTTCTATAGTGCATTTCATATAGATTGAACCTTTATTAAAAGACCACTTTTTTGCTCTCCCGTAAACATGTTTCACTGTATATAGGTATAACAATGATAAAAGACACAGGTAGATTGCACTAGGTCATATCTTCCTGTACTGTTTATGACATTTCTGTCTCATTGACTTGAATCCACATCCCCTTTTATTCATCTGCATGGAAATTATTCTTCGGTAGTCACCAATATTTAACTTCATGTAAAGTACTTTGAGCTTGCTCTCTGACACAGTGGTTTATTATTGTTTTCTATTGTACCATTAAGTACTATTCCTGTACTGATTATTTTTTTAATAAAGGTGGGAGTGTCAAGATCTAAAATTATAGTTTAACCCTGCTACATGTTCATGGTTCCATGTAAGGAGCTTATTCTTTAGTTGTCTTTTGTCATATCTTTGTTTCTTATAATTTGGTGTTATTCATTTGTAAATCTTTTTACTCTTTTTAATACATGTACTCAAAGGCAAATTAGAGCTTCATATGTTGAACAGTTCAAGAGTATATGTTGACCTCTAGACGTCTTTGGTTATCTGCGACTTGGGTTGCATAAAGAGGTTTACACCACCTCTCTTTTTAGAAATATTAATAGAATTCCTAAATTAATTGACACATGATTAACTAATTGATTGGTGTTTAACACCAATTTCAGGAATGTTGGCTATTTCGTGGCTGCCAGTTTCTATTGGTGGAGGAAGCCAGAGTGCTTGTAGAGACCCATTGACCTTTGGTAGGAAAACTGACAATCCTAGTCAACTAAGATTGGAATCGAATGCACAACCTCAGTGTTGACAGGCTAGTGATTCAGTTGTTGTACTCCTTAGACCACTCGTCCACCGAGGCCCCTCATGGATTATTTTAAAAGCAACTATAATTTGGGACTGCTTTATATGCAACCAAATGCTAAGTGACATAATGAATTTTCTGCGGAAAGTGAAACATGCATTTTCAGCTTTATCATAATGATGAGATGTAAAATTGCCCTGTTTTGTACTACAAAGACACGCACAGCCATTTGTTTAATAAGTTAGCTCACAAGGTTATTTACAGCTGACCCATTTTCTTGGTCAAATTCTGAATGCTGGGTAGAGTAGCAGCTAAAAAAAAATTTGAAAGAATTTATAAATTGACAAAACCAATGATCTTACACCCGGCTGCACCGAAGATAGCACTCTACAAAGGGAAACAATGAGCAAACCTACAATCCACTAAATAGATACCTTGTCTCAATATTGATTTTTTTGTGGTGACTATATAACACCAATAAACAAAATAGGTTCTAACTAAAAGGTCCAAATAAATACTGAAAGGAAAGCATGAAACAAAAGAAATATTCTGGATTTACAACATTTATTAGTAATGTGTATATATTACAATACTCTAAAAATAAGTTTTTTTTAAGATTTTAAAACTTAACATTACATTTAACAACTGACAAATGTTCAAGTCCTGGCTACATGGTGACTGTATACAATGTATCATATGTCTTGAAGAAATCCATTTTCCTTATCAAAAAAAAAAAACATAACATTTTTTTTCCTATAAAAAACACAAATATTTTCCACATAACATACTAACAAGTATTTTTGCCTGTATTATTTAATGGATAATAATGTATATAGTATTAACTTTAAAAAAAGTAAATCTGAAAAGATGTATGCCATACAATATATATGACAACAGCGTACCTTTACTTCACATTTCTAACAAATGTCATCTTCAAATTTCATATTGGTTAATTCTATTTTTCTAGATTTTATTTCATCGTTTTTTTTGTTTTTTTTTTCTATTTTACATACAGATATACAATTATTTAGACAAATGTCACAATAATTTTAATATTCAAATTTGATTAAATAAGTACAAAAATATTTTTTGAATATAATATTTGTTGTAATTTTATATATTCAATGGTGTATAAAAAAATAACTTAACATGAATTGAAAGTTTTTTAACCTTCCTCAAGGCAAAATTAAAAAAAAAAGTAAGGTTTGCTTTAAGCAATAAATGAAATGAAAACAATTTTTCCAAATAAAATCTGACAGGTTTAAAATAAAGAAAAAAATAAAGAATACTTGAATCTAAGGATAACCCACTGAGATGTATTTTTTGTTTTGTAATTTCTATCACAATAAAATTTCACAACCAGGTAGTCAGGCTATTACTTCCATATAATGGCATATTGATTTTTAGATAAAAGAAAGATTTTTTTTTTTAGTTACCACCCTTACATCATAAATTTTCAAAAATGTTTCATTATTGACCCGGTGATGGGAGCAACTGCAACATCATTTCAGAAAGTTTCCAAATTATATAAAATTGAGGTTTTTTTCTCTCAATAAAACAGCAAAGCAAACAGTAAAATTAAATTGTGATAGAAATGTAAACAATTATAAAAATATTCTCAACACTCAAGCTTCAAATGATATGTTAAAACCCAGTCAATAACTTCATAAATAAAAATAAATAAAATACTTTAAAACACTTTGTACAAGACACAGAATTGTTCTCCTTTTAAATATTTTTTAAATTAATTAAAATAAATGTTCACAAATTCATTAAAAATAAATAAAAAATGAGAAATAGATTAAGGAGAAAGTGTATGTTTCAAACCATCTTTCTGGCTGTTACAAAATACAGTATCCTTCTACAAATATGAAAACATAAGTATTCATAGAATACATTTGAATTTCAATGAAGTGGATTAATTAGATTTTATGAACACTTCCAAGTTTGTCCACATTAAGTAACCACAAATCTACAAGCAGTTTGTGAAAAATCTTCTTGCTTGTTTATTCTTTTTTTTTTTTTTACACATAAATTTTAAGATGGAAAAGTAAAGATGTAAAACTGTTCATCTACTTCAAGCCCCTCTCAAGCACTGTCCATTCAAAGATTGCTTAAAAAGGACACCAGTGTTTTGTAACAGCCAGTTGTATATTACAATTGATTGGGAACACCTCCCTATTCATATTATATTATTGTACACTAAGGAACTAATTTTTATAGAAGGCACATTCTATATTTTCATCTTTGCTACCCACTTTGTTGTATTTTTACAAACGAGTTTTGCCATAAAAAAAAAGTTATGTATACTTTCTTTATATTTGCATCATTAACAAAGATAAAGTTTTATACAAGAAGTCAACATTGAAGTCAAAAACACAGGACAAGAATTAATATTCAAAGTTATTTTTCAGTTTCAAAAGAATCTGGGAAGGTATTCTTTTAAGATTCTGCCAACTTTACTTATAAGACGAGAGGACAAAAAAAAAAAAATATTATAAAATAGCTTAAGAAAAGTAAGGTACCTTTTATATACAGTACTATGTAAGCCATTCTGCCTTCAACAGACAACCATAGAAGATTCAAGACTAGAGACAATTCATTAAATTATTGAGATAAGTCATTCTATTAATATCAATGTTTTTAGGACTAGTAGACATGTTTCCATTAGAAGTGAGAAGGATAGCATAAGGAAATATAGTAAAATATAATGTGAAAATTTTGGACACACACCTTCAATCCAAACTTAAGTTTCTTTCATTTACTAAACACTTAATACAATTTCCCTGTTATCTTTCTTTTTTTTAAATCCTTACTTTTATTTACAAGTTGCACTTCAGCTTTTAGAATACATCAATCAAGATAGTGAATAATGCTCATGTCCTTCGAAGGAAATGTCCTTACAGAGTATTTATTTCATGGAAAAACAGATTAGAGAATAATGTTTAAAATTACAAAATTTTACATAAGAGTATTAAGAGTTATCTTAAGTAGAAATGTATGGACTTACTAAATCTAGATTTCCTGTATGGGATTTGATTCTGATGGTAGTGACAAATTTCAAAATACTATACTGAACACTTAATGGTATAAACAAATATTTAATCACCTGAATTTAAATAACAAGCAATGCCATTCATTGCAGTTTAACAGTAAACAATCAAATTTCACCAAGTTTCAACCAAAGTCAACAAGTCTTTCAACCATCAAATTTAACAATACTTTTACAACCAGATTACACATTACACAATCGTATAACAGTAATATTCATAAAATATTTAACTGCTTTTCCACTCAAAAAACATACAGAACCCATTTATTCCCACAAAAACACAGCAAACCTGCCCTATTACCATGTGATTTAACAAATTAATAAAATCCACACTGCACTAAAGATTAATATACCAAACTTATAACAAACTGAAGATGGGAAATATCACTAAAAGTTACAAAAATATAGTATAAGTATAATAGCTATTCACCATTTTAAGTGCTTTTTCTGTACTTTTTTATCAATGGAACTATAATACCCTTCCTTAAATTCCTGTTACACAAATTATTTCTTGTGAAAAACTAAAAGCCCTATCTTTATTCCTAACAATACTTTGGAAAAAAAATTGGTTTAAAGTTGATAATGTATCCCAACATTTCATTCACACTTTACATGATGAATACCTGTAAAACTATGGCTATTGAAATGCATTTTAAGTATGTGCATTCAGTTATGATTAACTAATGATATATGTTATAAACTTATGATCTATAGGATTTGAAAACAAGACCAGTACATATCATCTAATAAAGCTACAAAAGGTCCTTTACGATTTTTTTTAAGAAAAGGAGACAGCCACATATTTTTTCATTCTGCTTCATAAAGGCAAAAAGAACGAAGTATGTGTGTTTTAGTGTTTCTTGACAATGAATTATAAAGTATGGCGTTTTTTTTCCCCAAATCACTTGCCGTGAAATATTGTGATTTACAAACCTTGGTTCCTGTATTGTTCATATTATTTTACAGAAAGTTTGCAATTTGTAATCTGTCAATGAACATCATAATGATGACAATATATGGTTTTAATAATGTTATGTTGTGTAGTTGAATAAGTTCAATAGCTGTTAGTTACATCTGATTGGGGATACAGTTGGTGAAAAGTTTTATGGTTATGGGTTAAGGCTGGAAAGGTAACACTAAACACACATTGTTTCTATTTTTGCCTAAACGTAACTGAACAGCCTCATAATAACCTTTGAGTTATGTCTTGTCTTATTACAAAGAAACCCTCTTTTTACTTAACTTTTCAACTAGTACTGTGCAGACATCTTTTGATAACAAGACTATCATGACCATGCTTGCACAACTACAGTAAAAATACCAATAGTAATACATAAGCTGTCTGAAACTGCAAATTTAATTTCATATTGTAAAGAAATGAGAGCAAAACTCATCCTTTGTTTTGCTTTTCTATTGGATTTGAAAAATCAAGAATTGTTCCGCAACTAAGTTTTGAAAGATTGAGGTCCTTCTAAGACTAGATATTACATTTTTGGCATGGCATATGATTATAGTGATATGTACCAGTCTGTTCTAAACTACAAAGCGATCTATAATGTACTTAATAAATGTACTGGTTTCAAACATTTATCAAATAAATGGCATTTTTTTACTAAGTAACTTTAGTTACCTAAACATTATCATAACACATTTTTAAGGCATTTTTGAAGTTTTTTATTATTTTTTTTACTTGCTTTGTGGTTTAAAAATATACATTTTGAAACATAAAAACAGCATCATCTCTTTTAAAATTCATAAATAGTGGACGAACATACACATACTTTCTGCTTTCAATTAATCAAAATGCAATCATCCATTCACATAATGAACACAATGTGGTATAATGTCAACAAATTGAACACATTTGGTGAGTAAACAAAAAGGTATATTTCATGAACACATTTTGATTTGATCTTTGGCAAAGTTCTAACTGACTTAACCCTAAAAGTAATAAAACTTTACTGTAAACATGTTAAGCAGCAACACTTCCCATTAGATTGTGGCACATTGGATAAATATTTCCACGATAAAACTGTTTACTCAAATCAATATCTCAGACACAAAACACTATTTAACAGGCTTGTACACATGTCAAACATTTCATTCTATGTTTACTTCTAAATTATACATTTAATACAAACAACAAAAATAAAAGCACTATTAGCCCTGTTTGGCTATGGGAATTGTTCTTGAAAGAACAAAGTCATCTGTGTATTGCACATTATAATGTCTATAAATAAATATGCAATTTAACTCAACACTTCCAACACATATATTACTTTTATAAGACTTAAATAATATATTATCGCAAACATTCAATTCATTCATTAGTGACGCCATTTACTCCACTTCATTCAATCATTACTCTATAGAGAACAGCCATTGAACGTCGATTTCTTTCTCTGGTCAACTCCGACCTTGGCACAGAAGAAATTAGGTTGCATTAACAGATTGACCTCACGTCACAGTTGGATGTTGATAATCTACATCAGTTGAGGTCTGTTCTTTATTTTCTTTGTCTTCTGAAACAATACTGTTGCCCTTTTTATTACTACTAGGTGGTGTCAACTGTGTTATTACTTGAGCTTGAATATCTGGACTTGAAGATCTATGTAATGTCATCAATTGTTCCTGTATTTCTTGAGCTCTCTCCTGTAACAAAAATAAATTTTTTTAAGAAAATCTACATATTGTATATTGGTTAATTCTTTAGCTAGCATGAAAAATATAGAATTTCTTTTTCACCCGATATATGAATAAAAGTAGATGTGCATAAGTAAACGAGAAAGCAACCTAAAGGCACACATAACAAATATGAACTAGTTATATAAATATACATACATATTTATACATAATTGAGAATGGTGAATTAGCCTAGCATATTAAACTCCAGCAATGCAGTTTCCTTATCAATTTAAATGACCTTATAAAGAATTTGAGTTCCTAATCTATTTAGTTTGGTTTAAAAAAGTAAGGTAAAAATAGAAAATTTCATAATTATGTAAAAAAGTTCTGCCAACTCAAATTGTTCTGGTCCTTTCCGATTTTTCTCAGTGGCGGATCCAGAAATTTTCATAAGTGGGGGCCCACTGACTGCTTAAGAGGGGGCCCAATCCAGTCATGCTTCAGAGATTCTCTATATAATCAACCAAATTTTTTCCCAAAAAAGGGTTTGTGAAAACACAATATTTTTGTTTTTGCCTTGTAAGCTAAAATCAACTTTTACTTACCAAAAGATTAATATCTATTTCATGTGTCTGTATGTTATGACAGTCTTCTGTTGCCACATTACTAAAGAACTTGACCTCCACATGACCTTTCTCTCTTGTGGTTTGTGCAAAAGGTGTCATCCAGTTAACACACGGTAAAATATCCTGCCATTTGTACCCTGCGTAAATTGAATTTCTATTTTAATAATACATTTTTGAATAACTATCATAAATACATGCATACTGTATATATAAAACTGGTAATTTCCAAGTAATTTTCACAGATGAGAAAAACTGATCCAGATGGTTTTATCAACAAACTATGTTTATTGAATTTTTATTGATACACGAGCAGCCTCTTCTATAAAGTTTAATACGAAAAGATATAAGATGTGGTATGAGTGCCAATGAGACAACCTTCCATCAAAGTCACAATGTATAAAAATATAACAATTATAGGTCAAGGTACGGCCTTCAACACTGAGCCTTGGCTCACACCAAACAGCAAGCTATAAAGGGCCTCAAAATGACTAGTGTAAAACAATTCAAACAGGAAAACTAACGGTCTAATCTATATAAAAAACAAGAAACGAGAAACACTTATGAACCACACCAACAAACGACAACCACTGAATAACAGGCGCCTTTTTAAAATCCATAGGTTTACTCGCTATTGATTTTATCATGATAAATAAAAAGATCCCATTTTTCACTTGATAAACTGATGATTGTTAGAAATGAATGCAAGATCAAGATTAATTTACCTGAGACAGATAATGCTACATCTTCATCGGTGAGGTGATATAAAGCAGCAGCAGCTATAGCACTATACGTAAACGCTAAACAGCCAATATCTAATGTACACAAATCTATCAACTGAAAAAGAAAAACACAAAAAAATAGTAAAATTGAATATCAATTTCAGTGAATACATGTGCAGTGGTTTACATGTACACAGACATTAGGAATCAGTTGAAATTCAGTACCCCTCCCCAAATAAATCTACAAGTGAAAAAATATAATAACTAAATATCCCTTCTTCCTAAAAAAAATTAAAGGAATGTAACTCAAGTAAAAAAGTTCTATAGGAGTAATCCTTTCTTAAATTGTGTTTTTGTTAACCAAGTTTACTACTACTTCATTTTTTAAAACTGAGGTCAAAAGACATAATACTTGGTTAAATTAAAACATACAATTCTTACCTGAGCAATTTGGACAAAGGCATGTGATGAGTATTGAGGAAAGACAAAGCCATGTTCAGTATCTGTTATATACTCTATATTAGCTACTTGGAGGTAGACATTTAACCAACCATTAGCAGTGACAGGAGACAGATCCCAGTTCAAAGCCTGAAACAGAACACAAGGTTCATTTTAAAATAATGATTACATTATGCTAGACCAATAACTATGCAAATTTTTATATTTCTAAAATGCACTTGTTCCGTTATTCAAAGATTTCTGATTTTGAGTACTGATCACTAAGCAAATTTTTCAAAATGTGTTCAAATTACTATTGTTTTTTTCTTACATCTTGTATATCATATATAATTCACATCAGTTTATCATTGAAAGTTTAAATATATCACTCCTTTTTTTCACATTTATAGAATTGAGAATGGAAACGAGGAATGTGCCAAATAGACAACAACCTGACCAAGGAGCAGAAAGCAGCCCAAGGCCAAAGTGAGGAAAATCATGCATCCAGAAGTGGCTTCAGCTGGCCCATAAACAATAATAATTACTAGTTCAGCAAAATTCACGCCACACTAAACTTACATTTATTACAACAAATATGATTCTGTTTTAAATAAACTCTATTTACCTTGATTATAACAAGTTCTTGATCCATGATCTCATCCTCTGTACAAGCACCATCAGTAACATAAGCAAATTCAGCAAGTTTGGGCGGATAAATTTCCTGAAAAAAAGATAAAAATGTTAAACAGCAAATAACAATGCAAGTGTGTAAAAATGAGAATGGAACAAGTCATATAAGTTTTAATTTTTAAGGTTTACTTCAATGAAATATATAGGACAATCTTTGTACTTGTTTGCATTAAAAAAAACTAAGATCTCAAATGAAAATAGCTCCTTTAACCTTGCTATATGTTCATGAGCCTCTATAAAGCCAAGAACTTCTTTAATGCTTGTCTCTAGTTAAAATATCTGAATATTTTTAGCCATTTAAGGAATTTAATGGAAGATATCGAATAGTCCGTCTTAAATTATTCACAGATTTTATAGACTTGGTTATTTTTAAACTTGACAAATATATACAGATTAACTACTTGGTCGAATTAAGGTTAGAATAAGTGCAGGTTACATGTACTTTGTGAATGGTATTTTTAACGATGGTTTTAAGATTTACCTCTAATTTTGCACCAATAAACAAACACGTAATACCAACTAACTGTAGTTGGTGTTTCTGTGCATTGTGTGAGGAACAAAGGAATCGATCCAAAAAATCTGTAGTGAGGTAGAATGTTTCTCTATGTAACCTGTATACTTCACACACCTAAAAATACAAAAAATTATAATGAACAAAAATGTATTCATTTTTCATTTTAAAGCAAAAAACTAATCTCTGATTTCTTGGAAATGTCTCATCTATTTTTTCTACATTTCCCAGTTTAATCAATTCACCTTTCAACTTTTCACAAATTAAAGCCTGATCTTCTAGTTTTCACGTCAAGAAAACTTCCAAAGTCAAAGTTGATTGAAGACACAGTTATCTTTAAGTTCCGATGAAAAATCTTTCAAAAATATTAAAAATAATGTTTGTCAATCATATTTTTGAATAAAAAAAATATATAAAGACAGTTTAAAACTTTTGACAGTTTACCTCGATCAACCAATCTAAAAGAATTGTTCTCATTCTTGGTTGTAGCATCGGATGTTTGTCGAACACATTCGGGTTTCTTGCATAGTGTTGTTCTTTGGTCATCATATTTTGCCATACTTCTCTGGAGTCAGCCCAACTAAATCTTGGCAGAGGAGAATGTCGAGAGACTGTTGGTGTAAAGTAATTACGAAATCGGAACTTTGAGCCTAATGTCAGGTCTGGTGATGAACTTCTATCAGAGACAGGAGATAAAGGTTCACTGGTAGGAACCAAAGTACATGTTGTTATCGAACTCTCATTTGAAATAGGAATCCAGGTGTTCTGAAGAAAAAAAAAATGAAAAAGCATGTTACTTCTAATTCATAATCTCCAGGATCAAATTAAAGTGTAAATTTTATATAAACAGTTTTGTAGATTTCCCATAAATTAACATCAAACCCCACTTAACATATTTCTCAAATGATAAAGTTTTTCTATATGATTTGTTGACACAAAGATATGTCTTGCCTGTAAATAATTTTGATAGTACAAATGCAAATGTTTAAATAGAAATAGCAATACTTTAACATTTAATACTCATATATGTCAATAAACCATGACCGAAGGAATAAGGCCAAATAATTTTTGAGATTACAAGATATGCCTGTGTTAATACAACTGCATACTACATGTAAATATCATTAAATAAAATTAGTGGTTCCCCTTTAAACTGACCTTATTACACTTTTAACATGTAAACAATGCAAAAGTTTCCAGGTCAATAGACCATGACTTAATGTGGGGCAAAACAATCTGCATGAATCTGAGATGTGCCATTTACAACTGTATATCAATACTTTTAATGGACCTAATCACAAACTTAAAAAAAAATTGTTGAAGACACTTTCAAAGCTGCTGGTTGAAACCGTTTTGCTTTATGACTCCTTCAAGAGGAGATTAAAATCTCCACTCACTCACAAAAATATACATAATTAAAAAAACAACAATTAGTTCACCATGACATTATCATTGTTTTTTAAAAAAATACAATGGTCCATATCTAATATGGCAAAGTTTTTAATGCACACATAATATTATCAAAAATGAATTCAATTGTTATAGCTACATATATTCTTGACAATCAGCTGTTCACCAAAATGTCATGTAGCCCCCCCCCCCCCCCCCCTTTTTTCTTCTTAAAAAAAAAATCAAATGAGTCAATTGTTCATACATTTGACCTCAGAAAAAAAAAAACATAAAAATTTACCAAAAAAATAAGCTTTAAAAAACAATCAAATCAGGAAAAATACATTGAGTGTGGCTAAATTTCATCAAAAAGTCAAAATTGTTAAAAATTTAAATATTTTTATCTGATTATGTTAAGAGATATTTCATATCTACAATGTTCTGATAATTAAATGAACTTAATTTCCCCCTTTCCTAATCTTGCAAAAACACTGCTATAAAAGGGGGAAATTTTTCTTCTTCGATAAAATGGTTTTTCATTTTTGCTGAAAATATTCTTAATCTATAAAGTTGTTCAAAAAAACCATTTACCACAAGTTGTTTTTTTAAGATAAAATAGATCAGGCTTGTGTCTTATGTAATATATTGTATTATTTATAAGAACAAAGCTTGTGTTTGGAGCTAAATCAACATTCTTGGTCAATTCAATTAAATCAGAGCTTGGACATTGTTTGTTTAACAATCAAATTATGAACAATAAAATTAACTTTGTAATTCATTGGCAAGATGTAGTTTATATAAGCGAAAACTATTAGTTTCATATTTTAAAACTTGTTGTCTTCCAATCCAATTAATTGCAGATAAAATAAATGTCAATAATAAAAAGTAATGAATGCTTTCTAAAATTAGTCTTGTTTTAATATGGAGGCTTGTTATGTAGGTCAAGAAATAAAATAACAACAAAAAATTAATAAAAAATAGTTAAAAATAAAATAACTTCATAAATTCAAAGTCCAGTTCAGGAAGGAAACTAAAGCTTTAATTTGCCATACAACATTTTTACATGACCAATGTCCTAAATGTTATTTTTTGTAAATTCCTTCACATCACAAGGGGAACTTTCATCACATAATCCTTCATAGAAAATACAACTTTGCAAATAAAATATACCTCAATACGATAGTTCCTACTCCTTTTACTTCCAATCATTTCATCTTCTAAATCCTGTAATGGAAAACAAATTTGTTCGATTGTTACATAAAGTTATTCAATACGAATTCCGATGCTCGCGTCCAAATGAATGAACAAAGAAATTGACATTTAGATTTGCCGCGAGGTTTTTTCGAATGCTTACCTCTTCTGCCTTTCTTTTTCGATTCACAGTAGAAACTGCAATGGATGATGAAGAACTTTCAATGCTAACTCTTGACTGCAATCGAGCACTGAAACAAAGAAATAATTTGTTTATTTTTCGTTCCCACCAAAAGGGGTCAATGACTGATTGATCTTTGTCAAGATGGCGCGGGACGAAATCTCAATGGTACAAGAAATAAACTAACCTTTTCCTTGACATTCTCGTCGCAGATTCCTTTATCCTTCTCTGCCTGCAATGAAAAATGATAAATGTTTATAAAAACATCCGATTCAACACCATTTATTCATTTTATGCTATGATATGACCTCCAAATGGAAGCACACTGGCCATCGGGAGTTGGCACACGGATGTCCGCTATAATATCCGAAATTGCAAAAATATGTCAGAAAACGCAATGTATAATATTGGGAGAATGATTTATCTCCAATATCCCTCCAAATGTTTGTCAGAATTCACTGGATTTCATTCAATTGAGCAATATTTTTCCAATCATCTTTCACCTGCCAACGCGCCAAACGAACTTTCCACAATTGACTGTAATTTTCCTCAATATTCAACAATGCATTAATAAAAACATTTAATCTAGGCGTCAGTTATTAGATTCTTACTTTACTTATTACATTCATTGGCTATTTTCTCTATTTTTTGTTAATCCATTGCAATACCCGTGTTCATCCTTCGACGTTCAATGGCCAACTGAACTGTGAAGAAATGCCCCCTATGTTCGCGACATCCCGCCAAGGGGGATTTAGCACTAAACAAACATATCAAATAAACAAATATCGCAATTCTTTTTAGTTATATAAGACCGGTCAATAAAATGCGATCCATTGGACGATCATTTTTATTTTCTAATTCAAAAGAAATACATTACTGTAGATGAAACTTCCTTTTCAGCGTAACGCGCGAAACACAAAATCAAAGAACAAGTTTAATTACAAAAAACTTAAAAAACAACATCTTAGAAATTAAGTCAACAATGAATTTGATTCTGGCTTGATGGGTTTTTAATATAATTTCTTTATGTTCGTCTTTCATTTCTTTTTCCAACATTTTCTTCATGAAGTCAGAAAAAAAATGTGATAGTGGCTTTAGAAATACCACATTAAAAATATTTTCACTGAAATTTACCGCAAAAGCTGCATACCAAAATATTCAGGAAAGATTCGTTTAATTATTGACACATATAAGTAGTAAATGCGGTATTAAAATAACAAAAATATACCCTTATTAAAAAACGTAAACAAAGAAACATTTACCGCCATGTGGAATACACAAAGTGCATGCACTTTACCCTTTGATCCCAGAGTAGAGAGATTTGATTGGATAATACTAGTTTGGAAAATCCCGCCCCTTTAATATTACATTTCCGGTCACAACAACATGGACTGTTTTAGAAAAATCTTTTCTGCTAACAATCTGAATGTTTTTGGAATGGTACATATTCAAGCTTTGCCAGGTTAAATAATGTAGTCGAGTACTTTTTCTGTTTAATGTCTGTCTAAACTATCGATTTGGACTAGAATTTCAATTAAATTTTTAACGTATACAATTTCAAAAGTATAATTTCTACTTTTAATTTTTATCATGTTTATGCTGTTGAGCTGAGCTTGCCAGATTACTAAGTACAAGATTCAAACATTGTGCAATAGTACTACCAAGGACGTATATTTAGTTATCCTTGGTACTATTATTAAAATCATTGTTTCAATTGATCGTATCTAAAAAAAAATAATTTAATAATGTAGATGCTTGTATCTGGGAACAGTAGATCTAATATGTCAATATATATGTTCCTGCTTGTATTCATTAAAATAGAATGAACGTCCTCTGTATAATAGGAAGCTACTGACATACATGTGCAAAACTCTTGTCTAAAGTGATCAATTGGAAAAACAAAACAAGAAAAAAATCCCTGATAGTTTTCTTAACACAGTATTAAGTTAGCCAACATATATAGTATGTCTCTTTCCATCTTAGGAGTGATGTCTTTTAAGTATGCACCTTTATCCCTCCTCTGCTGTTACAATGTATATTTACAAATGAAATAAATATATATATATATACATGATATACCTGGGTAGCATTCTTTTATCCTTGAATAGTACAAACCCAAGATGTGTACAGAATATAACTATATCATATTTAGTTTGGATATGTATTATATATACCATAGGAATTTTTTTAATTGGTTAAACAGTTATCATGCCATCAGTTATTAAAATTTAATTAAAAGATAATTTTGTTTCCTATGCATTCATTGTTAGCCTTAAGATGATAAAATATAACTTCATTATTTCTAGATGCCCTTGGGTTTTGGGAGTTATCATAGAAATTGCATATTAAAAAAACAAGTAATAATAAAATGAAAATAACAATAACAAAAGATTATTTAAATCTGGGCAGAGGAAAAAAGTGGAATATTTTATTCAATGTCCAGGACTGAAAGTTACATGACCTGTATTTTCTAGTTTAATGGTTAACTGTGATGTGTGTCCAAGTTGAAATTGTCTAGTATGAAGTTCTCTTGTGCTAAAAAAATAATGCACACTTAATGTAACTTTGTGTTGGAATGAATTAAGAAATCATTGATAAACAGCTTTTGACCAAAATATACATTAAAAGTCTTTTAAACTTAACTAAATCATTTCTTTGTCAAAGTTTTTTGTCAGTGTTCAGTTCTGTTATGAGTACAAATACACTGTATGATAACTGTTTAAAGAAAAAAGTCAATTTTAAAATGCCATTGATAATCAAATTAAATGTGAATATTAACATCATCCAAATCATAAAGTTATTCATGTGAAAAGGGTTCCTTTACTTACATGACTTAGTTATTCAGTACTGTAGAGCAACAACACTCTTGTGTAAATTTTGAATCTTTTCCCTCTGTGTTAACTAAAAAACTTCACTCTTTTTACATTTTATAATATAATATATATACTTCAGACATACATGTGTAACATGATTTTTTTTTTAAATCAGTGGATTTGCTCAGGACTAGATTAGTAGATAATTTGTTAAAGTGATAAAAATGTCACTTCTGAAGATTTTGTTGTGATTTTATTTTTATTTCAGTCTTTAAGTTTTGTCCTAAAATAAAAACAATGGTCACAGAATAATAAACATTGACACTGTTGTTTTGGCTAGAAGGAAAATATGTCTTCCTGTCTGTTTGTTGAGGTGATATGCTTGTCAACTTGTTGTCCTTTAGATAAGATCATGTGCTTCTGGTTTGGTCAGTCTTGTGATAATCTTTATCTTATTCATTTTATCCTAAGACAATGGTACAAAGTCTTTAAACAGATAACTAAAAAGAGTCAAACCTGTTACATTGTTTTAAAAGTATTTGACCAAAATTAAAGAGTTCTTGAGAGAAAGAAAAAAATGTAATATTGATTTCGAAATGAAATATAATAAATCAAAAAGATAGTTTGTATCTTTATTATACATGTTTTGTGTATAGATGAATTTTGCCATATATATGAACTTCGATGACCTTTATTCAGCTTTTTTTTCAACATACATGTATTTGTTTATTTTCTGGCACAAGTTTGTAAACTTTTTCATATAAATTAATTTTTCAACTGACCATTTCCATTTTCAAGGTATGATTAGGAAAAATTATAAAGCCAAGAATAGGAAAAACATTGATTGTTTTAGGAATGAAATCACCTTTTTATATAACTACTTGTGAGCCTAATATGTAAAATTTGTTTGCCCACATGATTTGTCAGTAGTCATACTAGTGCACTATTGAATTAATCAAAAGCAACTTTCCTTCTGAATGTGCTTTAATTTTAGGACTTTGTATATGGAAAGTAAAAACCCATTCCTTTAATAAGGTCTTGTATTTCTTTAACATGCTAATTAGTACTTTGTCCCAGTAAGAAAAATTGAAATGTTTTACCTGAATCAGCTGATGATGCAGCTTTATTTGTTATATACAACATTGTCAATTTGTAATTTATATTCCATTTTGTATCACTTTTAAAAGAAAATACCCTAGGTAACTAAAAAATTACTTCATGTGACACTTAAGTTAGTCCATGCATTAGACAATGCACATTTTTACTAGTGATACTTTTCATTGCTTCAGATGGATTCAAAATGTTTGTATGAATTTATGAAAGGGAGATTTGGTTTCATACATCAATGAGACAGTTACCCAACAATACAAAAAATAAAAGCCATGAGTACTTTTAACAAGGGACTTTCTAACAAGAGTCTATAAAATATTATAGAAAAATATGAAGATGTGGTATGATTACAAATGAGACAACTCTCCACAAGAGGCCAAATAACACAGAAATTAACAACTATAGGTCCCCGTTCAACAATGAGCAAAACTCATACTGCATAGTCAGCTATAAAATGCCCCACAATAAGGTATGTAAAACAATTCAAAAGATTAAACGAACTGCCTGATTTATGTTCAAAATAATGAACAAAAAACAAATATGACATACAGCAACAAATGAAAACCACTGAACTACAGGCTCCTGGCTTGGGACAGGCACACACAGATTGTGGTGGGGTTAAACTAGTTTGAAGGCGCCAACCCTCCCCTAACCTGGGACAGTAGTGTAACAGTACAACATAAAAACAACCTATAAAAATCAGTTGAAAATCAGTAAGAAGCAGAAACACATCTAACAAAAACACAGACCAGAAGTGGCAGGGTTCTTATGCATCCCCACAACAAAAAAGAAGACACAAAGTATAGATCTGAGAGTACTCACAGTTACTGACAGCTAGTTGAAACAAGCTAATAACTAAGAAAAAAATTCATGCATCTAAGACTGAAATATCAATCAGCACACATCCAAAATCCAATGGATTTAGTATAAAGATATCATTAACAGTCAGAGAAAAACATGATCTTGTGCAATGCTTATGTTTGCTTTATTGGATATTTTCAACATTGCCTTGTATGATCAAAGTCAATTTCCATACTTGAATTTTATCAATTTTTTACCAAAATATTCTTATCTTTTTCAGGAACACCAAGAAATAAACTATCAGTACCAGAAATTCTGGATAAAGCATTAACAGAAGTGAAGATTTACAAAGACAATCATGTGGTATTCTTATTTACTTCTGTACATTCAAGCATGCTTTTAATGCAAATATGGAATACCTTTAAAATGTTTTGGAAATTTTATAGTTCACTATACCATTGGAATCCGGGTCCGTTCGCGCCCAATCACGTTCGCCCCATGCACGTTCGCCCCCTTTCACTTTCGCACCCTACACGTTCGCACCCAAAGTCTGTTCGCTCCCATTTTTTATTGGTTTTGTTTTTAATAATTTGTAAACGAGTTTTGGTAAGTGTATTGCTATAAATATATATTTTTTCATTGTTTCTAAATAAAGTGAGATTCTGACAAGGTTTTTTTTGTGTCATGGTAAATATATTGCTATAAACATTTTTTTTCATTGTTTTTAAATAAGTGAGATTCTGACGACCAGTATTTTATTTTTGTGTTGAATAATTTTTAATCATGTTTGGATAGTGTATTGCTATAAATAGTTTTTTTCATTGTTTATGAATAAAGTGAGATTCTGACACACATGAGATCAAAGGAGCCAAGCAGTTAAAAACAATTATCTTTCATGTTTTTTATTTAAAATCTTCAAAGTTTTACTTATACCAAGCTAAATACATGCAGTATTTACATCAACGCAAGTTAAAACAACCATGACAACAATCATGATTTTCAAACACTCAACAATAACACCAAATTAGGCTGTGAATAAATACCAATTAGCAGTAATCATACATAATTAACATTTAATAATTAATCATCAAATCAATTTAAAACTATATTTCATTTAAAAATTCCCGAATTTTTATTTATGAAAATAAAAATATTTTGATATAAACATCTACAAAACATCTAAACATTTATCAGGTTTTTGAATAAAAAAAAAGGGTGCGAACGGACCTAGGGGGCGAACGTGTGGGGTGCGAACGTGTAGGGTGCGAATGTGTATTGGGCGCGAACGGACCCGATACCATACCATTGTTTATCAATTGTCATGACAATTATTAAAATTTTTAATTTTTAGTTTCCATATTATGAATAAAACTTCAAATTTTCAGAAAAGTTAATTTTGTACGATTTGACAATTGTATTGAAAGTAGATATCTTCATTTTAAATGGGACAAGAAAAGAAGGGTATAAAGGGTATCTGTAATCCATACATCATTTTACTTAAAATTATAATATTGCCTGAAATGTATACATTCATTTACCAGTATTGCAGTAAAAAAACAACACAATACTGGAATAAGATTTTCTACCAGTATTGTGATCACCAAGTTCAGGTGATCCAAATTATATTCTTATGCTCCTGTACGTCTTCCAATTTATAACTTAAGTACTGTCTCATACATTTTATGGCATACTAAGAATATATAACCCACTTTATATATAAGCTAACAAACACATTCAAAATATTACAGCACAACAGGTCTCACTATTTCTTTAGTAAATCTATCCTGAAATCTTTTGATAAAAAAAATCATTAAAAAACTAACCTTGTTATTGTCTTGGTCTCACACAGTTTGATAACAGACATGTTGGTTTCAGGTATTTTATATTAAAGGTGACAGATGACAATATGTGATTGTTTTTACTTTCTGACAAATGAACCCAAGCTCAGTGTCATAGAACAGGTTGAGAAAGTTGGTTATACAAGTGATTAGTACTTGATTATGTCAGTATCAAACATATGCTAACATTTAATATTAATTAGTTAATTAGTCAGATTTTGAGCACGGAAGAAAATTTTATTAAAAAAGTTTGAGAAAAATTAATTTGTTTAAAAAAAACGTATTAAGATTGCACTAGAATTTTAAGCTATTAATAAAAATCCTATGGAAATTGGTCAGTCTGTAATCTTCTTAAACGACACAGGTCTTGAATCCTTGAATGTTTTTGTTTGCTAATGAAGTAGTTTTCACAAAATCATTTTTTTCCAATTTTTTTTATAAAAAAACACTTAATTTACAGTCTTGAAACAGTATGTAGAAGCTAAGACTAATATATTGATATATGCGTAGTGTAGTAGTCCAAGGTAGAAGGTATTTCGAAAATGACATTTTCTACAAATTTTGCTCAAAACCATCATTTTTTAGAATTTATCATTTCATTTAGTATGTTTAAGGATGGATATTATAATTTAAGAATAAGAAAAAAATCAAAATTCAATGTGATACATACATATAGAATTCCTGTGTTACTGTGGATTAATTTATTTTCGTGTGTACCAATTTTCATGGATTTACAAAAATTTGCATTTTCTGAGATATTTGATGTCATGGTTTTTTGCATATAGTCCCAGGCACTCTGGCTTCCGCCTCCAATGAAAACTGACCACCATGAAATAGCACAATAGTGCTGAACATGGCGTTTACCACCAATCAATCAATATGCATATATTCCTATAAAACATGTAGATTTGTGGTTTCCCTGTACCCATGATAAATCAAGAAAATTGGTATCCAATAATAAGGAATCCAATCCAGTAAAAAGGCCAGTTTGACCTGAAGGGACCAGAGTAAGTTTGTACCATTACTTTGATTTTTGGTCTCTTATCAAATCCATGATATTCTTGGATGGAAACACTTCTTTTAGTGTATTGTATAGTTATTTTTCGGTTCTTTAATTATTTACATTTACAGCTGCTGTTGAAAGCAAAAAAAAAACATATTTTCAATCCCTTGACATTGGATTCATGTTCTAAGGTATTTAGGAAGAATGTAGGACAGAAAGTCACAGGACAAAAAGTCGCAGACAAAAAGTCACAATTCAGTTTTGAGATCGTTTTTCTTTGAATAAGAACACACTTATTTTTAAAAACATTTTTGTATTTTTTCTTGAACTATTATATGTAAAACAACTTTGTTAACAAAATGTATTCTAAAAAAAAATCAATAACAATCAAATAATTGTTAAGAAAACAATTTGTCAAAGTGGCTTGGTTCTTAAATATCTTCATGGTGCCAAGAAATATATCCTTTGCTTGATTAAAATTTGATAGATCTTCATTTATCAAAGCTTATGAACAATTTTCTTAACTGTTAAATGAATATATGTAATAAAGAAACTATTTCAAGAACTTTCTATTATGTATTCAAACTATTTTAAACAAATAATTTGTGACTTTGTCCTAACAAATTTGTGACTTTTTGTTCTAACAAATTTGTGACTTTTTGTTCTAACAAATTTGTGACTTTTTGTTCTAACAAATTTGTGACTTTTTGCCTGCTTACCTTTGGGGAATGGCCTTTTTAAAAACTATTTTGGGGAAAAGATACCATTTAGTTATTAAAGTTAGGAATGGATAATTTTAGGAATTCTACATGACTTTAAAATTAATCATAGATCTATTGGAGTGGTTCCTAAACAAACAGTGAGAAATGGCTGAAAAGTCCATCATATTATATAACATTTCTATTGAATCTCATAATTTTGACACCTACACTGGACAAAGCTCCTGTAAACTTCCCTTTAATTTTTTACAAAGATTAACAACACAATTATGTTAATCTTTGAGTAATTGTGATTTTAATTACTCCATAAAAGATATAATAAATCAGATAAGTAATCCATAGACAGGTGTTGTCATAGGTATGATAAGTTCTGATAGGTAAATTAGTGAGATAATTAATCTTTGAAGTCATGAGTCATCACTATTACATCAAGGGCCAATGCCCTGCATGTTTTTTTTGTATTTCCAATTTCTTGAAGTATACAGGTATAACATGTCCTTGTGAAAATTACCCAGTAAAGCTAGATAAGGATTAAATAACAGAAAAGAAGGGATTAGTTTATTATGTCATGACTCAGAATCCCTACATGCACTAGATAAAATCAAAAGCAAAGAAATAGTGCATTTGTTGCTGTTCTCCATCCGATTGTTTTTTGTTGTTTTTTTTATCATTTAGGGAATTTGCATTTAGTGACAGATGTAAAATTTATTCCAAAATTTTCTAGGCACAGGACCATTTAGAGCTTTTAACAATGTATAGACACTTATCTAAAGACTTTATGTTGACCGCAATGTCTTTTCATAAGTTGTTAGGTTGCTGTCTCATTGACATTCACCCACAAGTTCCTTTTATTATTGAATTTAAAATTCACTTAAAATTTGTACCATGGATGTACTATATTGACAAGATATTACTTCCATGCATGCTACTTATTGTGCATGTACAGTAAAAAGACCATGACAAGGAGAAAAATGCAAGCCCTGTAATTGGGAGATCCCTCTATCACCTGTGTAGACAAAGTGTTCGGTTCTAGAACTATGTTACCTGTAATCAAATTTAGAATCAAGAGCAGAATGTATTATAAAATTTTGCCTTTTGAATGAAATATAGATCCTGTATCCATACTTTGCTTTCCAACTTCTGACAACATTTTCTTTTACTTTCTGTTTTTAAGACCTTGTTGGATCCTCTTGTTTTGTTGGTAATGATACACACCACCTTAAAAAATGTGGCTGCATTATTGGTCTTTCCACTATTTGTGGCAGATTTAATGCTGACACATATTTTTTTTTTTTTTTTTAATTTTCAAATGATATGTATGAGGTAATAGTCAAGACTTTGTTTTGTTGTTACACAAATTTTTTTTTCTCACAATTAGTCAACCAATAAGCCAGTTTTTAAGCCAAAGAAAAAAGTTATCAGTCTTGAAAAGGTCAATTGATGGACCAACCGGACACCAACGCCTTAATATTATTTAATAAAATGGTATGGAAGATGCATTAATATTTTTTGATAATGCAGTGTTTCTTGGACTTATTATTCATGGTTCTCAGATTGTTTTGATAAATCAACTGTCCCTTTTCCAAGGTACATTACATCGAGTCTCTGTAAAATGATTACTTCAGTTTCAAAGAAAACTAAAGTGTAAACACATAAATAATATTGTACTTACCTTTAAAGATTTTAAATAACTTTAAAAGAATTTCTTGGAAATAAACGCTTCAGCTATTTTGAGTTGAATGATATCTCATAAGGATAAAACTTTTACAGTATTATTAAATGGATGAACTGTTTTCTGATATC